ATAAATGTTGATAGTCATGACTTACAACCGTTTTTAGAATTTTCTAAATGAAAAAACATGAAGAAGTGACCCTGTAGGGAATAAATACCCTGTCTTTACTAGAACCTCCATTAAAGGATCCCTTTTAATCACTTTCAGAACCAGCATTTATTTATTTATTTATTTGTTATAATTTTTTCCATTTGATTTAGATATCATCTTTTTTTTTTAAAAATAAAGATATATATATATATATTTTTTTAATATACCTTTATTGATTTCAGAGAGAGGAAAGGAGAGGGAGAGAGAGAGATAGATACATCAATGATGAGAGAGTCATTGATCGGCTGCAGCCCGCAACCCGGGCATGTGCCCTGACCGGGAATCGAACCCCGATTGCCAGGATCCTAGGTGGATGCTCAACCACTGAGCCACACCCGGCTGGGCTAGATATCATCTCTTTTAAAGTATTTCTGTGATGGATTCATTTGTTGAACACCAAGTTATCCCACAAATTCCCTTCAACCTTCACCATGTGAAATTCCTAAAATAACTGCTTCTTTTCCTCAATCCTGTGTTGTTAGTATAATAAAGAAGTTCAGTTAAACTAATTTCTTATGTAAGAGAAAGCAAATGTGCAATGTTAATTGGTCAGTGCTTTGGGTTTTTTTTAGGACTAGAACATTTAGATATGTAGCATGCTGACTTCAATTAAGAAAGAAGGCCTCATTCTTAAATTTATTTTTTTCCTGGAGAGGGAGTATCCGTTAAACAGCTTCTCTTGATAAAGTGCTTTCTCCTTCGCCCTTTTTCTTAGTTTCTATATACAGTTTTACTTCACATCAAAGAGCAACCTCCTCATTGTTTGGAGCTAAAGAAATCCAACTTAATAAGCTAATTTAGAAGCCACTAAAAATGACAAGATTACAGTCCCCTGATTCTTAGTTAATTGTTAGGAATGGTAGCCCCACTGCCCTAAGAAGCAAGAAAACATACTAATTCCAAGTTGAAAAATTGATCACCCTCTACCAAGGCCCCATAGCATGTCAAAGGAAACAAGTGGAATCTGCCTGAAGATTCCTAAAGTGCTGATCTTTCCTTTACAGGTCAGATGCTTTCTATTGCAAGTTAAAATCAATTCAACCTGGTTTAAATAATTGCTTTATTGGTTTACACATTAGAAAATCCAGAGGTAGGATCAGTGTTTAGAAAGTTTGAACAGTGTCAACAAAGACAGTTTCTTTCATCATACCATCAGCTTCATTCAAAGATAGGCTCTCCTTTGTAGTCATTAGATAGCTGCCATTAGCATCTGGAGCCACGTGTGTCCTCATTGACATTCTGCAGTGAGAAACAAAAGTCTCTAGCTTCACTTTGTACTGTACTCAATCCATCACCTTAGCAAGAGGGATGAGACTACCCTGGAGCTGTCAGGGAGAGCAGTTTCATCCAGAACATTTCACTGTTACACAGTTTTCCTTTCTTCCAGACCACAGGAAAGAATGAGACAAATGTTGTGAAACATTGTTAATCCAGTGTTCCCTTGTGCAAAACCATATGAAAAGTCCTAATAAGGATATAATTTGGGATGGGAGGGTGGGGGGACAGCTGCTCAGTTCTTACTGTATGCATTATATTCGTTGCACTGGGATTTAAGTCAATTCCATAATTTCTCTCTAATACAGGGACAAGATCCTCCAGCTCCTCCTGTGGACTAACTGTGATATGAGAAGTGAAAATAGTTAACACCTTGCACGACCAAATGAACGAAGATGACCAGAGTACTCTTGACCCCATTAGAACGGTTCTTCCTTTTGCATCTGTAATATGGGATAGTATTGTTTTCACGAGCTTCTAGAAATTTCATTTGCAAGCTTATTTTTGCTTCCTGTGTTATCACCATTCCTTCACAGTGTATTTGAGTAAATGATTTTATTTTAAAAAGTTACATGGGCCTTTTTGGTTATCCTAAACTCAAAACATTCCATTCATTCTATTTATAACTGTGATCACAATTTTGGTGATGATTTCTGGCCTGATTGAAGGAAATTTGAGATCTCTGCATTTAAATATTTTAAATAGTTTTGATAGGTTTTAAAGTTGCTTTTTTCATAGGGTATTTATAAAGTTATTTGGGGTTGTCTGAGATTGTATGAAAGAAAATTAGAACCACACTGTATTTCTACTTACCTTGGTAGTTTATTTGTGGGTGGGTGGCAGGTAGTTCTTGGGACTGTGGCAGCGTTTGGAATATTTTACAAGTTACAGCTGAAATTTGTTTCATCCACTACAACTGGCTTATGTGACTAGAAAAGGAGGAGAAAAATAACTGTTTACTAAGTTTTTTATTCCCATAAAAATGTCTAATATTAAGAAAACTTTAAATAAACGTGATTTAAATATGGTGGATGATTTACAGTTCATTATATGACATTTGAAGCCACTGTATACTAACTAGCCTTACAAGGTTCATGAAAGGAGGAATATAGTTAATTCTTTTTGCCTTTGCCAGGTATAATCTATATATACAGTAATTTAATCTGTCTGTAATTTATTTTTCAAATGGGTGCCTCTCAGAAAGCTTCCTTTCTGTTCAAATACTTCCCTGTTCAATGAAACTCTTAAAGCTATCTGTATTGGTAGCCCGTTTGCTTACTGACAGTTGAATGCTGTTTACTTATTTACTCTATTTTTCTTTGAAGAAAAATATTTGAGTATTTTGTTGTCCTTCTGACTTAAAAAAAAAAAATTTAATGAATTCTTGGTTTACTCCAAGGGAAAAAGGAGGAAAATGAGAAACAGTCAAGGATCTTTTTCTTATTCTATATCTCATTCTTGTTTGGTAATGGGGTGGATTGGGATGGGGAAATATAGGCAAAATTTTGAACTGTATAAGAAGGTTGCATTGTTTTGGTCAGTTTGAAAGAAAATAATACAAAGGCATTTTTAAAAGTCTGTATCACCTATGTGGTTATGAAATTTTTTCCTAGCAAGTGATTACAGATGATTTGTGGGGGCTAGAAGATACTTTGCTATCAATGTAAGGATTTTTTCCCCTTAGACCTGTCTAGTTTTTCACTGTATCGATCTGAGAAATTACTTATATAAATTGAATAAACTTCTCTATATCATTGTACTGTTTTAATAGAGTCTCTGATATAGTTGTGTGACCCTCTTAGGGCATTTCCCCCCCTTTATTATGGTTATATTCTGGGCCATAAACATTGTAAGGGTTTCATTTCATTATGTAATCCAGTATTGACTGCTTGCATTCCTCCTGTGCATCGTGGCTTTGTGCTCAACTTCTTGAAGTAATATAACCTGTTTTTAATTAATTGTGCTAATCAAGGGTTTTGTAACACAGGTAAGTCAAATCCTGGATAAATAAATACCAGAGTTAAGGTTTTTCCTCTTGCTGTGGCCTACTGGAAGCCTTCCCAGCTTTATAGCTGTTAAAGTATTTAAAGCAGAATGGGCAGGAATGGCATAAGATTGGAGCTAAATGCCTATAAGCATTCCTGTTTCTGCCTTTGCCCTCTGAACTTTGAAGGCTTGCACATATATCCTAACAGTCTGTCCTCTGAACTGCTAGAAATCCTGGCAGAGATCCTGATGTATTCACTTAGTCAATGGCTCACAAATAATTGAGAATTGGCTTTGGTAGAAGACCTGGCCATGATGTGGAAACAATGTCTAGTGTTAGATAGAGACCTGGAAATCTGGATTCTTATTATCGGTTCTTCATTTGTGTCATACACTTAATCGACATTACATCTAGAATATTAACCTTTTCCTATATGGACCATATGTTTAACTAGTAACAGAGTTCTTAGTGGAGTATTTAGTCTTGTTTTTTTTGCTTGTAAAATTTCTCTGCAGTCCTAAAAAAGATAGTGTACTACTGCATATAAAATATTCCTGTTACCCTAACTAGTAATTTATATTCTTTTTAATTCTTAAAGCTTCCACATGTGGCCTTTTTATTGAGCACACTCTTATTCATTACTTGGCTTGTAAACATTCACCTGAATTCTGGCTACAATCATTTTTAAATAATCTGGAAAAAAAAAGATAAATCTTCGTATTTTAATCACTGTGGGCTCTTAAATATTCCACAGATGCCATTAAGAACTTATTTTGAGAGTCATTTAATGTTACTTTATGCAAAATAATTGTTTTTTGCTTTCCATTTTGAAACAGTTAACACTGGGACTGTGTGTAGTAAAAGATTTTATCATGTATCTATCCAAGCACTGTTCCATTATCAGCAAGTCATATTTTAAACAATTTGCAGAGATTTTCTGAAATAACTATTAAGTTGAGCTATTCCAGGTACTTTTAGTGTCTTTGTGTGGTGTGTGATGTGATAGTGTTTATGGAATTACCAAATTCTTCCATTTTCAAAGGAACCTTGGAAATTTATCACTCTGAATGAAAGTCTATTACTCTAAATGAATATGTCCTAAAATTGACCGGCTCAGCTTAAGACACAAAATAGCAACTTAAAGGAGAAATGGGAATTTACAGTTAATGGGTTAAATTTTTGTTGTTGAATTAGTAGGTTAAATTTTAACATAATATTTTAAATGAAAAATCATATGTATTTGTTACCATGTCTGATGATTACTTTGTTAAAAGAAAAGTGGTCATGTGCTATACTAAATGTTAATTGCTGTTTTAAAATGTTTAATCATGCCAAACAAATCATGTCTGTGCCATTCAGGGTTTATTGTAATCTTTTACTGAGTACTTGGACTGGGATAAAGGGCTTGTACTATGCACTTTTTATTAATGAATAAATAGAAAATGTTAGTAACACTCATTGTTTTCCGTTTGGCTTTTGTCAGAAGAAAACCACCTATCTTCTGGGCCTGAAACCAGACACAATGGGTCCGGGCTGCCTGTTGCTACTTCAGCCAATTAAGCAGAGACAGGTTGAATCACATTTGAGCATTTATTCCATTATTGCCGGCAAAATGGGAGAGCAGAGGGATTCATCCACATAAAATCTGCTCTGCTCTTCCCTTTTTACCTGGCTGGTTATATAGGGCTGCATGCAAGAGGGGTGTGTGTGTGGAGGATGGCTACAGGGTCTGTGGTCCCTGTGTTTCCTTCCAGGATCTTGAAGTCTGATAACAAGGTAATTAATTTTCAATGGTGTTAAAACCCAGTTCTGCCAGTTCCTGAGACCTGAGAATAGTCAGCATTCCTGAGCAAACTCCTGGAGGGGGGTCAGGCTCCAGGCACAGCAACCAAATCAAAGCACATCTTGTCCTTTGTCCTCAAAATGCATTTTCTTTTCTGAGCAATGGACCCATACAGGCCCCAAGGTGTCTCATCTTTTTACAGTTCATTTTCTTTTTGCAGCACATCCTCCAGTTTCCTAGAGTCTGTAGGAAAACTTACCTATAGTTAATAAGGTGAATAATTATTAAACAACGATGGTCCTATTCCTATTAGGTGCCCTCCCTCCGTTGACAATCATGGTTAACAGAGTATGATCAACATCTCTGCCCCCAACATGCTTAGTAAAATGTTAACATCCTTTATTTTTTCTATTTTGTTTTTTTATTGTTTAAAATGTTACAAATGTCCCTTTATCTCCCCAATGACCCACTCCACCCCATCCCTCCCCCTTCCCAAGTCCCTCTCCCCACCATTGTCCATGTCCTTGGGTTGTGCATACATGCATATAAATTCCTTGGTTACTCTCTCCCTCTCCACCCACCTGCCCTCCTCCATCCCTCTGACATTCGTCAGTGTGATCTATGCTTCCATGTCATTGAATCTATTCTGTTCATCAGTTTATTAAGTTCTTTAGATTCCACATACAAACAAGATGTGATGTTTGTCTTTCTCTGCCTGGCTTATTTCACTTAGCATAATATTCTCCAGGTCCATCCATACAGTCCCAAAGGGTACAAGAACCTTCTTCTTTACAGCTGTGTAGTATTCCACGGTGTAAATGTCCCACAGCTTTTTATCCACTCATCTACTGATGGGCACTTGGGCTGTTTCCAGATCTTAGCTATTGTAAACTGTGCTGCTATGAACATCAGGGTGCATATATTCTTTCTGATTAGTGTTTCAGGATTCTTAGGATATATTCCTAGAAGGATCTCTGGGTCAAAAGGCAGCTCCATTTTTAATTTTTTGAGGAACCTCCATACTGTTTTCCATAGTGGTTGCACCAATCTGCATTCCCACCAGCAATGTACTAGGGTTCCCTTTTCTCCACACCCTCGCCAGCAGGAGTCTTTTGTTGATTTGTTGTAACATCCTTTATTAAGCAGTTTCTTTGTAAGACTTTTTACTCCTAACTAAAGACTTCCCTAAGAGATAACTTAAAGTCATAAGAAAAACATTTATATAATAGTATGGGGCCTTACAATTAATCCAGCAAGTACAGTTTTGTGGTTATAACCTACAAAACAGATGTAACTCTAACACCAGAGCCTACACCCCAATAGATAGATGGGTTAAGATTTATCCTTGCAAATGTTCTTAAGTCTTCATTTTTATCTAATAACCTTAAACACCACACTTTACTCTCTTTTGTCACCCATTGCACTTGTCAACATCCTCTTACCCATTTTCACTAGCAACAGCCTATTGAAAGCTGGCAGTCTCAAGCTTCAATCAAGCATGATTCTGTTAGCCAAAGCAAGGCTTAACAAAATCTTGGGGTAAGTAAAGTAACACTGAAAATTATGGACTTGGGGTGGTGAACACAATATAATATACAGATGCTGTATTATAGAATTATACCCCTGAAACATAATTTTATTAACCAATGTCACCCCCAAAGTTCAATTTAAAAAAAGGAAAATTATACTTTCTCCATTGAAGAATGGGTAAGGCTGATAATTTTCTCCCTCTACAATATCCAAGCAATTTTTTTCATCGTCACGTATTTTAAGAACTTAGTCACATAGATAGGTGTAAACTGTCAACAGTTAAGGTTGAAGTCCTTGTGCCCTCTCATATTAATAATTTTTGATGCTAATATATGAAAGCATCAAAGATACTCAAAGGGTGCTTTTGTTGAAGAAGGATAGCTGACAATTTTTAAGTTACTTAGTCTAATTTTCATCTAGTTCTCAAACTTACATTTTTATTGTAGCAATCTTACTGTGTGCTAAATAAGAATATTTAGTATTGTCAATAGTGTTTTAGTCTTGGGAAAAAATGTTAAAGTAGCTTTGTGTGATTCTGACTTAATGTTAAGGTAAACAACTCATTCAGATTTTAAGCTACTCTCACAGCTAAAAAAGTAGGCCTGAGGCTGTTGCATATAGTGATAGCTTATAGTGAGTTATTCTCAAACACTCTGGTTTGGGAACCCCAAAGAGCTTTGGTTTATATGGGTTATGTTTGCTTGCTTTGGCGGCACATACACAAAAACTGGAACAATACAGAGAAGATTAGCATGGCCCCTGTGCAAGGATGACACACAAATTCATGAAGCATTCCATATTAAAAAAATATATTATGTCTATCAATATTTACTTGTATCCCAAATTAAAACACTTAAAAATATTAAGTATTTAAAAATAATAATAAACCAAATACATGTTAACATTTTTAAAATAAACCATTTTCCAAAATGAAAATTTAGAAGAGTTACACTGCTTTACATTTTGCTAATCTCTTTATGGCTGGCTTAACAGAAAAAAGCTGGGTTATCATTTTTACTTCTGCATTTAATGTTGCTGTATCTTCCCTTATGAAAATGTATGTATGTTAGTTTTCAATTATTAAAAGAGTAATGCACCCAGCTGGCGTCACTTAGCGGTTGAGCATTGACCTATGACCCAAATTGAGGCTCCATTCTGGGTCAGGGCACATGCCAGGGTTGTGGGCTTGATCCCCAGCAGGGGGCATGCAAGAGGCAGCTGATCAACCGCTCTCATCATTGATGTTTCGGTCTCTCTCTCTCCCTTCCTTTCTCTCTGAAACCAAAAAAAAAAAAAGACATGCTATTTTGAGCATCCTATGCCTTGACAACCTCCATTTATTTTATGTAAATGGAGGAGCCTGGCCAACCCTCTCTAGCCTCCCCACTTCCTACCAGTCTCTATGTGGTAAACACTTTACATCCTTAGTTATGAGGGTTCTCTCCAGCTAGTCTTCATTTGGTTATTTAGGATGGTTTTTCTATATTTTAGCTGTAATTCCAATTTGATTCTGGGAGAATGTCAGTGTAGCTTCCACTTAATCTGCCACTTTCTTGGAATCTCTCCAACCTCCATTTATTTTAATACAATCTTTGGGTAAAGACATTAAGTGACAGCAAGATCATAATGCAGAAAGTACAAGAGATTTTGCAGGAACTGCAGACAAAACTGGATAGCTCCAAAGCATTAAGATAACTATAACCCACCTGCTGTCCAGAGTGCCAGACTCATTGTGATTAGACAGCTTGGAAAATATAAGATTTGATAAAACTAAGTTGAAGTACTTTACCAAATAAATCTTATAAATTTTATCCATGTCAATTTTGTCTGATCTCTCTAGAAAGATTTAGTAGTCTTGCATAATACTCAAGTTGCTTTAATTTTTAATTTTTTAAATGTCTATTGATTTCAGAGAGAGGAGGGGAGAGGGAGAGAGACAAACATCAGTGATGAGTCATTGATCGGCTGCCTCCTGCACACCCCC